CCGTCACGTAGACTCGGCGTGATGGACAGCGAGCTTCGAACGTGGGACTTGTACGACCTGTCCGGAGCGGTGAATCCGGACACACCGGAAGCGATGAAGACCTACTTCCGCCGCTTCCGTGGGCTACGGCAGAAGAGTATCGAGGGTGTCGGATACGGCGCGCTTCAGGAGTCGTGGTGTGCCTTCGTCCGGCGCTGGAACCGGATGACCCAAACTGGAGAAGACTTCGTCGCTTGGCTCGAAAGTCGCGAGGGCACCATCTCTGAGCACTCACTCAGCGAGCTGCGCCGCCGAATCTGCGATCACACATTCCACGACGTGAGCCGCATATGCTACGTTCACGTTGCGGAGGGCTGCGAAACTTGCAATCGGCCCGGGCCCACTGAAGAAGACTGGCGTGCGCACGTCGCCGAGCGACCACTCGGCGAAGACGAAAATATCTTGATCCAGCACTACAGGCGTTCACTCTCCGAGTTGGCTCGTTCGGTTAACACCGCGGGCTCGCGCCGGCGGCGTTTCCAGCGGAGCAACTCTCCGCCAACGCGTCGAGGTATCTCTGCTGGCCACGCGCGCTCTCGGTCGCGCTCACGCGGCCGTTCCCGACGGGAAGCTGGTTCGCTGAGAAGCGAGCTTGGATCTCGGTCGCGTTCACGTTCACGCGATCGCTCGCGTCGCCGAACTTGTTCTCCAGCGCGTGGGCGACGATCTCGTTCGCGCTCGCGTACGTATCGGACTGGTTATTGGCCACGGCAATCTTCGTCTCGTACTCCTGAACCACATCCGGAACGTCCCGGAGGAGATTGGCGCGGAGCTCCCACGTATCGTCCTTCGGGGAGAAGCCAAGCCAGCGGACTCTATAACGGCGAGTGGTCGGAATCGTCCGGCCGGCACGCCCGCGAGCCAATGCTCGTGGAGGATCTTCATGACTCACGATATGATCGACAATCCAGCGGAGATCACCAGCAGCGTCAACAATGGGAGGTGGACCGTCGCGCTGATAACGTTCGCGTCCTGGTTGGCCAAGACGATGACACACTGGTGAACCAGTTCTGGGACTCTCAGCGGGATATTGACATCGCCCTGCAACAGTCGTCGGAGGCGTCGCACACCGCGACTGCTCTGCGGCAGTCGAATCGGGAGTTGCTGGAGCGGGTGCGGACACTGGAACGCGCGATTCACGGTCGCGTGCAGACTGGAGCGCAGGCTCGGGAGCGTGTACCTGGATCGGATGGTTCGATGCGACAGCGCGTACTCCGCGAGGGACGGACGACCCACGCGCCTCCGGCTCAGCCGTCTGAGCCGTCGCAGGGATCGTACCTGGGAAGTACTTCTTCAGTCGCCCAACGTAGAACGTCGGGTGTAGTCTCAACGACGTCGGTATGTCTAGTGTGTAGGCATCGCCCAATACTTTCGTAATCTTGAACAGTCCAATAAAGCGTGGTGCGAGCTTGCTCGCGCCGAGGTTGGTTATTGCCGAGTTTCGTATACCGTCCGTCGACAGGAGCACACGCTCTCCTGTCGTGAACTTGGCCTTGTTCTTCCTGCCGCGCTTGTCTGCGTTCTCCTTCTGCTTGTCAACCGCTGCTTGCAGTGCGTCACGAACGAATCGCGTGAGTGCCTGGCGATGTAGAACGAACTCCGACACTTGGGTATTGTCGATTGGACGCGCCGACACTCTCGGCGCGAAGTTCGCTGTGGTCGCCGCAGGAGTGACGTGACCAGCAGGTTGAATAAGCGTCCGGGAAGCCCAGGACGACGCGTCCGACGCTGGATCCGGCGGCGTTGCGAGGATCTTCCGCGCTTGTGCGCGGGTGATAGCGTTGAGCGCGGTCGATACGGCGCTTGCTTCACTTGACACTATTTTTAGACGCGACCCTTCAGGTGTCCCGACAGTCGCCTGTTCGTCAGGTGTCTCGACGGTTGACCGTTCGTCATCAGTAAACGAGGCGAAT